CTGCACTTCCAGCCGAGGTAATTGCGGGTATAAAAATTCCCTCTAGCTTTGCAGAAGCAACGAAAGACCCAACCTACTCAGAAGAATGGAAAAAGGCAATGAATGAAGAAATGGTGTCACTCAGAAAAAATAATACATTTGTGGAAGTCATACCACCAAAAGACGTAAATCTTGTATCCTGCAAATGGGTATACACAATCAAGACTCATACCGACGGCTCAATTGAACGTTTTAAAGCCCGACTGGTAGCGCGTGGATTCAGTCAGATTCATGGTCTTGACTATAATCAAACATTTGCTCCAACAGTAAGAATGGACACACTTCGATTATTTCTTGCCGTCACTGCTGCTGAAGACTTAGAATGTTTCCATTATGATATCAAGAATGCGTTTACAGAATCTCATCTTAAAGAGGACATTTTTCTTCAGCCACCTAAAGGGATTTCAATTAAAAGAGGCTACATCTGGAAAGCACTTCGAAGTTTATATGGGCTAAAACAAGCTGCAAGAGACTGGAACTGTCTGATCAAAGATTCGTTACTGACATGGGGATTCACACAAAGCCTTGCCGATCCGTGCATGTTTACTCACGACAATGGTACAAGTCTATTGGTTTATGTTGATGACATTGTGGCATCGGCTAAGTCTCAAAAACATTTGGATCAGTTCTATAAAAAGTTATCGACAAGATTCAGCGCCAAGAATCTGGGGGAGATAGAAAAGATACTTGGAGCTAGGGTCATGCGAGATAGAAAGAACCGGACCCTATATCTTGACCAAGAACAATACATTCAAAACGTGTTGGAAAAGTTTGGATTCAGAAAAGGTGCTCACAAGCCAAAAACAGTGCCACTCACTGGATATGAACACTTACGGCCCGCCACAAGTGATGACAAAAGAATCGACGTTACAGAATACCAGCAAGCAATTGGATGCCTTATGTATGCCACAACCGTCACGAGGCCGGATATTGCTTTTGCAGTTGGAAAACTCAGTCAATTCATGAGTGATCCCGCAGAACATCATGGATATGCACTCAAAACAGTTTTCCGATACTTGAAGTCGACAATAAAATTTCGGATCCGTTACGGTCTCGGAGGAAAATACAGTAGCTTTAAGGTCTATTCGGATGCCGACTGGGCAAGTGATAAAAATGACCGTAAAAGTACCTCAGGAAGCGTCACCATGTTCTATGGTGGTCCAATATCTTGGTCCAGTAAAAAGCAGCGCTCGGTATCAACATCAAGCTGTGAAGCTGAGTATATTGCTCTATCAATGTGTGCAAAACATGGACAATGGATTGCTCAAATATTTCGAGACCTCGGACTACCAAAGTATATTGGGAAAAACCCTGCACTAGTCCAAATGCTCGGAGACAACCAAGGATCAATTGCGCTAATTGAAAACGCATATCTGAACGAAAGGTCAAAACATATCGATATTTGCTATCACTTTATTCGTGATCTCGCCGGAAAGGGGAGGTTGGCAGTTGATTACATTCCTACTGATGATATGGTAGCAGACGGCATGACCAAACCGTTGGCAAGAGTGAAGTTCCAGAAATTCATTGAACAGCTTGGTATTAACTGTACACAAGTCCCCGTGATAGTATCTACTAAACAACAATTGATAGGAGACTAGAGTCAGGACAACCTTTGAGGGGGAGTGTTAAATGACAAGGTGTGTCTAGCTGCTACAGGGGCAATCCGAGTCAGACAGAGTCAAACACATGAGTCGCGTCAATTACGCTATTCATGCAGATCAGTCGCGTGGAGGAAAATTTGTACTTAGGAGTCTGGCTGTCTCGATCTTAGTATACTTTTAGTTAACTCGAATATCTGATTCTATCTGACCTCAATCCACTGTGCTAATTCCATCGTCTTCTATACAGTCATACTGCGACAGAAGTCCTCCCAAATTTAATAGTTTTAGCTTTAATCCGAAAATGACACTCTTTTAGTCAACTTCTACTTTCGTTCTATAAATATTGCGCCCATTTCATTGTGCGATATTTCCAACATAAGCCAAGCTGAGGATTTGCTTCTCCATGATTAGAGAGCCTGAATGGTAGCCAGGTTGCCCAGCATGATAATGATGATGGCCGTGGAGGAGCTGTATCTACCGCGCCCATACCTGCATGTACCTCCACGTCGTAGACCTCGTCCCCGAGCACAGTTCCAGGTCCTGTCTTGCCTCACCTCCGACGTAGGTTACCTAACAGCATATAAGTCTTGATGTGATGATTCTGAACGATTGCTGAACACATATAGACAACTGGGCGGGATTTAGGATAGCCACGCCAGCGTTTCTCTGGTTGCTCTTACTTTGTCTATTATGTCTGTCTGTGGATTTGAAGTTCCTATTTCGGGTAGTCGTCAAAAGGCCCGGCGTAAGCGCGAGTCATGAATGCTTTCTCCTCCGATTCGACCTTTGTTTGACGTGCGTAGGTCGAGTCTACATCAGGCTTCTGCTGTGCTTTCTGTTGCTCTCTAGCGTAAAGGATGGTATTCATCAAGTCGTCTGATCCGTGCTGCTAGCATCAGGCTTCGTTCCTCGAGGAGAACAGGTGTAGGGGAAATCCCAGACTCCTTCGGAGTGCAGATTTTGGAGTCGTCTTCTAGGCTGGTAGGACGGCCCATATCCCGCTCATAATTGCACGATCTATCGTATCTCATTGTCCACCACAAGAATTGTGGACCTCCACTCTAAATATTGTGCGGGTGGAGTCTGTTTACCAGACCCCGGTGGAGTTTTTTTGTTTTATTCATTTACTTTCTAGTTACATATCGCCCATCGCACTCCTACTGGAGCTTGAGCACGGGTGGAACCGGGTCGCATCAGGTTAACTACCATGAGGAACATCTACCTCGTCCCAACTAAATGACTAGACCACCTCAGACTTCACCTATGTGCTGAATCATACCAAGCCTGACTGTCCAGAAGCCCGCTGTACACACGCCGTAGCGTAGATTCCTCCTCAGCCTCGGCTACCACGCGCGTGAGCCCTTGAAATCCTCATCGACTTCAAAATATAAATTTCGTCCAAGTTCTTATCGTAGCTCTTGCCTTGCACATTCTTATCGCATCGCCGGGTTGTTGTCGTAATTGGGGATTTTTATAATCCCCTCAGTGTATCTTCCCTTTTCTTCCTCCTTTGCACACCTCCCGTTTACATCATGACTTACCTCATTAGGGCGTGTGTAGTTAGGTGATATGACGAGAATGGAGTTAGGTCGCAGGTGTAGGATCGACCGGGAAATGTTTCTTCGCCAATATGCAAGTAGTTTGGAAGATGTCTGTTATTTTAAAAAGGATTCCTAGATAGACCTATGTCCATTCGTGAATCGTATGTTGGTGGTAATAAGTTTTTGTTCGACTTTCTTGCGGTTGTGAAATCTCTGTAGACTGATTTTTCGAGCAAAATATCGAGTACAGCTCCTTCAAGTCGAAAATCCATCAAATAAAATTTGTCCCATCCTTTCCGTGGCAGAATCTCGGCTTTAGGAGAGTATTTCACTCCGAGGTTCGTAGAGGACACCACTGACAGGTATTCAGCCTTCGTCATCCATGCCTCAAAGTGGTATTTGCAATTAAAATGCAGAGTATGAGTCTCTCTGACGTGAAAATAGTCAGCAAACATGTACACACAACAAACATCGTTGTTGTGAATAGTGACCAAATGTGCTGTCGGGGCAATATCCCTCACTTCCAGGAAGTGAACAATCATCGTGTTTCATAGCTAGACAGCGGAATAAAAATAAAATAATTCTAACCAAACTTGGACTGGACACCCTCGACAGCTAACTGCCACAAAAACTCCTTCAACTTGTATATGACGTAGTGCAGGCTTAGCCCTTGACACAAGTGTACGCTATGATCTTCCTGAGTTCCCTAGACACAATGCCAGGCGGATTGTAATTCTAGGTTTGGCAGCTGACTTAGCTGATCTCGACTTGTTCGATACCTGGATGTTAGCGGGTGTCTGTCACTAAGTATTACTTTTGAGCATTATCGAGAATCTGTCTTTGACTGTCAGATAGAAATCAGGGTACTTTTTCTAAAATGGATGTTACACTTAAGCTTCAACTGTCATGACATAACCTTGGTCCAACTTGTAATGAACGCCAACTATTTTATCACAACGGGACAGAGTTTGTAAGCGTGTGTCCAGTAGGCTTCAGTGCGATATACACTCTTAAACTGTGTGAGTTGCATCTTCACCACCGCTCCTCGCAGCCCACCTCTAGTGATGATGGGTGTATATGACAAAATTCGTGGCGCAAAGTTTTATGCACAGGGCAGCCACCAGCCTTCTACGCACGGATGCTTAGGAGGCGCTTGAGCACCGCGTGTGACATTGTTTTTACAGATCATCAATTGTTGGGCGTGAGTCGCGGTATCCTAATATACCCTGCGACTGAATGCGTAAGAGGACGAATAGCAAGCAGCCAATTAAACTCTATAGTGTTGGTCACTCAATGCTCCGGTTGACTAAGTATCCATGGCACTCCGAAACCCTCACAATGGCGGGAAGTATAGACTTATATTCCAAATAAATTCTCATGTACATAGCATGTAATATTGACGATACAAGAATTAGTCTCGTTGTGCGTGCCAAGATCCCTCTGCTGATTGGAATCCACGGAAAGACGGTGAATGCCACGCGATGTTAGATAACTAGGATTTCATTGCCATGTAAGTCTCAGCTCAATTGGGTAGATCTAATAAAATAAAATGATATGCTCTATGTGTTTTGCAGAGAATTCCAGCGCATTGTTAGTGCAAAATATTTCCAACTCCCAAAGCAGCCATTTACCCCAACTCCTCCCAGCTATGACCGCTAAATAGGAAAAATGCATATATCAATTTCAGCTCCGAACGATTATCTCGTCGCCTGCATTGTCTCAAGCTTCTGGAGACCAGTCTCGCCTTTCTCGGGCTCTTGAAACTGAAAATAGCGCTCCAGGCGCGGAGGGGTCCATACTTCACAATCCATAATATCTAGGACCTCTGAGTAGTGACTTGTCCACGACTTGTTGGAAGCTGCTGGATCCTGTTGCTGGTGCGAGCAAAATTTGCCATGGATGGGGGAGTAATTGAATTCTGAAATGCTACTCGTTGACGTGGACTCTCTTGACTAGCAGGAATAGGAGGACATGGATGAACTCCTGCGGCTTTAAGACGTTCTTCTGTTGCTTTCAAGCGGGCCTCAAGCGCTTCAAGCTCCGAGGTTTGAGACGATAAAGCTTTCTTTCTGTACTCATAAAATTAGTTCAATGATGTAGTCAGAATTGAAAGTAAGGACACGTACTTCTCGCAAACAGCTGCATCAAGGTCTGACAAAGAGTTGTCAATTTTGAAGAGCTCGTTCAGGGCAATTGAGAAATTCTGCGCAATTTTCCTATTTATTTTAGTGTTGTTTCTGAATAAAAAGACGAACAGCTTACGACTGAGGTCTATTGCTAGTTTTCCACTCAAGGTCAAGTTCTTCGTCAGACATATTAGGTCAACTTAAGGGTTTGTAGGGAGGTTTGTGAGGCTGGAATGAAGTTTAGAGTGGACCGTAAGACTTTCGGAGCGTAGATCTGATTAAATGACGTGAACAGAGATTGGAGTGTCTGGTACAACTGCGGAGATCACATTCCATGTATTAAGGATCGGTTGGAGCATTATATGGGGAGGTAGAACATCCATGTCAGGCCTGAATATGATCGTTGACTCTTCCAGACTCAGCCACGTGCCGACGAAACCCAGCCTGACAATCTCAAACAATGGAAGCAGTCGGTGATGAACGGGGTTGTTAGAGGATGAGAGTCAACGTCAATTTTATTTTTGTGAAATCTTATGACTTGCTACAAAAGAGGTTGTGTCGTACCCGAAAAGACTAGGATACCACATAAATTACGAGTCGTATTGGGATACCCACACGCTCAATCAAAATTACCGTTTTCATGCCCAGCATCAATGAGGCTGCCAAATATAATAGGCGCTCATGTGGGATATGTATTTTGATACCAAAGCGGGGAATTAAAAATTCCTAATTTTATTCCATCTATCATTTTAAAACTACTGGAGCCAGGCAATACCAACCAACTCGACCATTGGAACCATCTGATGTTGTGAGGGGCTTGGCTTTTTGACGCAAAGAGCACTCCACTTATACAAGCACTTCAAACGGTGGCCTCCGTTTGCTGGTACTATCTCTTAATTCTGTCTGATAGAACCTACAATTATTGCCATACCCTGCATGATTGTTTGGCCGAAGACTAGAAACCCCCTGAGACAACTCTAAATATGCAAATCATTTTTATCACAAGGGGTGAGTACTGTTGAGATAAGAAGAGACAATTTTTATCAGGTCACTTTGTTCATATGGTCAATCCTGTTGTCTAGGAATATATGAAGAAATGAGAAAGAAAGAGTGAGCGGCATACCACATCGCCAATCGGCCAGCTCCTTCACTCAGGTGATGGTTGGACAATGTCGGTCAGAATGACCGAAAGCTCGCTAATCCCTGTTGCATATACAAGGACATGGCTCCCATCATTAATTGATATATCAGGGGTGACTAGTAATAAGACTATTATTGGGTTAATGATCTACCGGTGATGTGATAATCTCCCCATCGCATGTATCCAACAATCTTACATTATTGGAAATAATTATTCACGATGACCACAAACTATGCACATCGTTATTTAGGGAGAATATGATTCCCCTAAACAATGTCTATTTGTTAGTCAACCCTTACCATAACTCGTAGGATTACCATGTATTATCGCACAACCATGTACGGATCAATAAGGGGGATGAAAACTAATTATCTGACCGTGGTTTTGATTTGAATTCATTATCCTGAATTGGCGCCCTATGGGCCTATGCAGGTGACTATAAAACTATCTACACATTTACGCAGGAGGAAAGGTCACAATGAAACTCACTCAAATATCCTGATTTTATCTTAGAGTTTACAATTTATCCTTCAGGAAGCACAGTTACACTGTAACGCCGTCGATGTGTACCAATCACGTTCATTCTATCATCCCCAACCTTGCACACGTCCCGTCTCGTTCCCTGGGTTGCATTTCGACTGCATTTGTCATGCGGAATTGTTCTATCCAACCATGATTAAGAACCCATTGTGTGATCCTTTTCGTATCGCGAGGATCGTTCATCATTGCTTCAGAGGAGCGAATTCGGGCTTGTCTCCAAATTTCTCCTCTACCATTTGACCACTAAGGGCAGGAAATTTTTTAATTTTGGTCCTAAGCTAAAGCTATCTTTTCCACTTTGGGTCAAGGACCGGTGGAGCCGGCAAGGATCACTGCGTACAGGCCCAACTCATTCCAACCGCATGAACTTCTACTGAAATTGTAGAAATTAACAGCAAAACTAAAATCAAAAACATAAATCAAGAACTGAAATCAAATTTGGAAGAAATACTGTTTGGTCCGGATCCCGCGCTTCTCGCCCGTTCCCTTTCCTGCCACATATTTCACGTGACTTTTTCTTATCTCCGCTGAGAGCGAAAGATAAATTCGCAGATAGCCTGAATTCAGCTGGTATCCAGGGGAGGACATGATCATGTGCTTGGGATTTTGTGATTGGTTGCCACACGAACAACTTGGGAGATAACCTCTTGGTACTTTTCTTCTGTATAAGCAAGAATTGAGTCCGATATGCTCGCTTCGGATCCGGATACGACCGTGGTTATTATTATTATTATTGTCTTTTCGGAGTATTAGACCACATAAGATGTACAGGATCTCTCTGCCTAAAGACCAAGGATATTTACATTAACAGAATATGCCCTCGTAAGCCCCCTACATAGCTACCCTCACTATTACTCATGCCCAAAAATTGGTTTGCGTGATATGGTGTGAAATAAGCTTCCATCTCGGAATCTAGGCATCGTTGGAATGGGATTTTAGGGTACTTGATGAGATGGCGGTTGGAGGTATCTTTCTGCACTTTATCTCTGATGTTGTTTGGCAGACTATTCCCAACACCTTTTAGTGGTGTCCCCTACGAACCTCCAGCTTTCACTGTAGAGTCTGCAGTGCCGAGATTGATTAGTAAAAACCTCACTTTCATGATGATTCCCTTCCGCTTTCGTAGTTTGTATCGTCTTCATCTCTCTACACATTCCCCTATCACTATTATCATGAAGCTAACCACGATCAGATCAGATGGTAGGATCGAAGATTTTCTCATCACTAACCCTTGACTATGGGGGAAAAGACATCGGATGAGTTTCCGGAGCGTATCCAGCACCCGAGACGGAGATGGCGGATTGGATCAAGTTGGACTCGAATATTACAAAGAAGTGAGATTTCGATGGATATGCGCTCCTCATGTGGTCCTAGTGTCTAGGCCTCGCCTGGCTGGGGCTGCAGGTTATTTGAGACTTTTTCTTGCGCACGCAGTTTCCACCGCTACATTTTTTATTTGGGGGTAGAAAGTACTGTGGAAAAGTTGGCTTGATTCCACGGGTAAGTACTGAGCTGAATGGATATTCATCGCGGGTAATATCTCAATGACCTATCAAGCAACAAAAGAGGCAAGGTGCATTGTAAAAGGTGTACCTTGGGTCAGGGAGAAGCCCTATGTCTTAGATAGTAATTGACTCACGTAGTAAAATATACAACACACACATAAATTTATCCATGTTCAATGAAAGTACAGTTGTAGATCCGGGAAAAATTCTTTATTACGCCGACCTGAAAAGATATGCCGCCGTCTAATTGTGTGTTGTTTATTACCGATGCGCCTAACAAAGCCTTGTCTAAGGTCACATGATATTCGCTCGATCTTTAGTAGTAACACGAATATTCATATTCCCGGTGCTTCCTTTGCCCTTCATAGGGATAAAAGTGCGCGTGACCTTTGGGCACGCGCAATGATTGACCTTAAATAATTTCATCATCATCAGCTTCCCCGGTCATGCTTACGGCATCATCGGCGCATGGTCAGAAGATTACATGGTGTACAATTTTTCTGAGCTGTAGAGATCAGTTGGCAAGATGGAGAGAAGCTAAAATGAAGGATGAAAAGGGAAGAAGAACGGATGTCGCTTCAGCGGGTCATTTATGACGCAACCAACTTCAAAAATAAAACCCGTTGGAAATGTACGAATAGCAGTACGAGGGTAAATCTAGATTGAATAAACTGGAAATGGTAAAGATCAAAGAGATATTAAGGTTTCAGGCGTACATGCTTGTGTTATGGAGGGAGATACACTTTGGTACCTCATTATCCGGATCTCTGGACATTTAGATTTGGAAATACTTAACGCATGGGTAAAGTATAAGATAGTCAGGTTAATGAAGTGAGTCTAGGTCCACGTATTTCATGGTAGCTTATGTGATTCAGCCTTGCCTAATCAGTCCTCGAGCTCTTATTTACCTAGCTCGCCAATTTACCTTCATATGTACAAGCATGTTATCTTAATTTTCCGCTCCTTTCTTTATCTTTTTAATCCAGTCTTCTAGCCTCCCTGATATGGGGAAGGGCGGCTTATGGTGCGCACTTTGGACTGAAATTTTAGAGTCCCTAACATACTGTTTCGAGTCAATCAACGTCTCTACTGTTGGAGCTTCTGCAAATACTACAGCTGTGGGCTTTGACAGTTGGATCTTGATTGTTGGCCAACCACAATCTAAGTCTCGTAGTTCTGGTGTCTTCTGAATCAGCGGATATAAAAAATATTCCGCCACTCTACGACCGATTTGGTCCGTAAGAGCTTCAAGAGTCTGGAAAGATGACTCTTCAATCGTCTAATACGGTTTAGAAAATAGGAGAGGTTTGAACATTAGGATCTTATACCATTACAGTGAGTTGTTCTACCGCACAGAAGTCTTCTTCAAATTCCTCATGAAAGGAATCAATCTCCAGGGTTACGATCACCTCCTGTCTTGCCAACCTCTCATTATCGTTCACATCGATAACTGTGAAAGTTCTAAGGTGGAATATTTTAAGTGTCATTGAGTGTTTTAAAATATGTTTTCTGTCACGATATCGAAAGGAAGCAGACCTATGTATAACTAAGAGCGTCTCTCAACCTTCCTAGCCTACTCCTCACTTCTCCCTTGATTCATGCCGCAAGACAAACCGAAGGTCGTGAAAGGATGTCAGAAAAGTCTTGTTCGAGAGTGACTGTCGTGAAGGAGCCTAGCTTAGCATCCAAAAATCGTTAAGGACTAGGGGTTGTCGAGTAACTCATGTATTTCAGATGCCCTCCTGGCTAGTAGATTCGGAAGTTAAGATGAGTAGGGACGATATTTTTGACGGGTCGAAATCTGCTTTTCTTGAGGGCGGAAGGGTCTTTTACTTTGCTTTCGTGGGCTTTTTGTTCGCTCCCCGGTTGGTAGCACATGTTGTGATATAACGAGGGCTTTTCTGACAACCGTTGTAGCGTTTTGTACCGTATTTTTTTTTGCATCAGATTTTAATTGCATATGCAGCTATCCTGCCATGACACAATATCAAACAAAAGTACGTACTAGATGACTCAATATAAAGGAAGAGCACTCATGCCTCGGATTTCATTTGCAAATACCACTGCGAAGTTATGGTGGTATTTTCTTCACCCCAAGTCAACCCTCATCCGTGAATACCCACCAAGGGGAATGTCTCAAAAACCCTGAGTTATCCAGACATGCCTCCATGATCTTTCAACTTTTCTCCGCGCGAAATATGGTCTGAGGCGTCTCCTTCCCAAGTGGAGTAGGTGCCCAGGCTACTCAGACTATACCGGAGAACACCACCAGGAGGCGGACCACAACACCTTCTATCGTTTGCTTGTGTGTATAGTTTCAGCTGCACAGTTGCAATCGAAGTATTGGCGCATAAAGCACTCTTCAATGTATAAATCTCCTTTCCAGAATTCGAAATTTGTTGTGGTTGTGAGCTGTGAGGTGTATGACAATTATGACTTTGCTGTCCATCGGTGGAGTGGCACGGGCTCATGTGCAATGGTGAGACGCGGAGATGGCGCGTCACGCTGGTTTGATGGGACAATGGATACTAAGTGTGTGTCAGTAGGTATCAAATGTGAACTCTTACTGACACTGCTGATCTATGAAGGTGATGCTAGATGCGCATCCCGACGATTAATAATATCATCTAATGGATGATGTGAAGTATGATATTAATCTGATAGATTGATTTACTAAATTCAGCAGGTGAAGAGATCGGAGTGTACATGAAAAGCATCTGTGCACCAGCCTGTATTTTCCACCCTTTCTTAGTACAGCAGCCCATCCTCCATTCCCCTGTCTCCTAACAACTCAAGCGAGTCAGTACAACAAAATCTCACGCTCTTTGAGATTGTATCCATCATATGTATCAGGTTGTAAACCTGTCCTGATCTCTCTCATGTCCATCCCAAAGAGCCTCCTCCCAATACGTTGCGCCACGATTTTTGACTTCCGTCGGGTGTAAATATCAGCGTGAGCGTGTATTTGGTGACCGACTGAGGCCTAAGAAAGTTGATAAGGGGTGTGATCAATGGAATAAGGATGTACTAGGTATTACTTGTAGACTTGATGAGGCTTGGATAGGATTCAATCTCGTTGGGAGGGAAAAATTGATGTGGTGGTGTATTTTGAATCTGTTGGTATACTTCAAGTGGACGGATTTCGTGACAAGCTTGTTGTAGCAATATTGATATCAGTTAATTCCTGTCTACCTCAACCTCTCATAAAGAGCAACTTATATCTTCATCGAAGAGCCATTTCCTTACTCCCAGCGCTATTCAATATAAGGAAACGTTACGAAAACAAGTCACGTGATAGTATACAGAACTATAATCAGACAGAATCATTGCCTCGAGGGCCAACTACTTTGGAATTGCCAAATTTAACTGAACTTAGCTCGGTGAGAAAATTTCACTTCCAGATTCGTAGTGGACACCGCCTATAGGTGTTCAATCTTTGACCTCCTGTGATTATTGTTATTTTCAATTCATGTCAGAATTTAGAATAATTGGGGCTATCAAGTAGGCCATGTTGTCGATACACACGTGACTACAAATTCTGTACTTATTTTTTTTTTATATCATTTAATGTGTATTCAGCTATCTAGCTATGACACATGACCGGTTCTATGTATACATGTTGGATGACTCTTTTGACGTTAGAGACACTCATACTCCGGATTTCATTCGCAAATACCACTATGACGTATGTTCGCTTATACAAACAGTCGACCCTCCTCCGTAAGTACCCACCGAAGGGAGTTTAGAAACCTTTGGTTATCCAAGCATGCCTTCGTCATCCATGCATACCAACGCCGCGATAAAGGTGGTTGTGTTTTCCCGGATTTGAACCAGCGATCTACTGTCTCGAGTGGGATACGTGTCAAAGCTATCCAGACTCTACTTGGCAGACCGGCCAAGACGATGTACCACCGCACCATCCAACCATGGCGGTGTTTATAGTGTCGCCTGCACTCTCGCAACCGAAGACTTGGCACGCACAAAGCTCAATTTTTAAAAACTCCTTTCCAAATTTCAAAATTCCATGCCCGTCGAGACTGTATCCATCCTTCGCATCATCTTGTGGACTTGTCCTAATCCCTCTCACGTCCATTCCAAAGAACAGTCTCCCAGATTTGTGCGCCACGCTTTGCTTCCTCCGTCGGGTGTAAATATCGGCGTGGGCGTGTATTTGGTGACCGGCTGAAGCCAGAGAAGGTCGGCGAGAGGTGTGGTCATTTGAATGAGGATGTACTAGGTCGTACTTGTAAACTTGATGAGGTTTGGTAGGATTCGATCTTTTTTGGAATGAAAATTTGACGTGGTGGAGTTATTTGAATCATTGCCTCGTGGGCCAACTTGTTCGGTATTGCGAAATTTGACTGAACTTGGCTCTGGGAGAATATTTCACTCCCAGGTTCGTAGAGAGCACCACTGACAGGTGTTCAGTCTTGCCCTCCATTCTGTACTTAGTTTCACTTCGGTAGTTACTTGAATCAATGCGTTCTATAACCTCATTAACTGACTGGTCATTATCTCCTTAATAATTCATTTTATTGACCTGTCTGAGTCTATGACTTTGTAGGTGATGCAGGTCCTCTCTGCCTACAGGCCAAGGATAACTACACCAGCTGTATATCTCATCCTATGCCTCCCACACAGCTCCCCTCAAACAGTACCATCACTCACAAGTCCTCATTCGATCATACACTAAGAGGAGCCCTTTACCCTTCATCATCTCCCCTCTCCAGCCAACGAAAAGATAGCCAGTTGCCGGTGTATGGGAGCCGGGAGAAATCGCAAAAACTACTGGGTGCGGAGCTCTCCTAGTACCGACATTAGGATTAAATTCGAAGGCATATTGCCCCTTCTGAAGCGTTCGAAGAGGCCGGCCAGCTGGCCGCTGCAGACTTGCGGGTACCTTGGAAAATTCACACTCTGTCCTTCTAGCCTCCTTCCAACTCTTTCCCGAAGGTCATGCTGTCATGTCACATAAGCCTTGTCAGAGCATGGTTGCTGTATAGCAGCTTGTCTCAACTTATGTGCCGTCCAGGGCTGTGGGGAGTGCCGTTGACTCATCGACAAAAGAAGCCCTCCCGGATAATTTGCCGGAACGTTGGTCTTGGCGCCGAAAAAAGTTACAAATGTTTGTTGGAAATCTATACTCAGCATGTATGTAGGTTTAGATTTCTAGGTATGATCATCAAGATCAATTAAGTTGATTGGATTGAATATGATTAAGCTCCGTTGGACAAAATATGATTCAGTGGCATGTGGAATGCAGTGGCTAGGAAATGCTACCTTGAGATAATTGAGTGGCTGGTTGATGCTAGATCACTAGGAGTTCGGTATCACTAAAGCCTCGGGATCTATATTTAATGATAGACTCATCTGTACATCTAAAACTAAGTTAACGGAGTATTATATATTATTAATTCATATTGAGAAGAGAGTTCGATATCACATACAACTATCAATAAATTCTTGTCCAAAATTGTACACTTGTTCTTCGAGATATTTCCTCCTAGAAATCCTTGACAATTTCTAACAAGGTTGAATACCCTTCAAACATTTCAGCCCCAGCATTGTTTCAGAGACCTCTTTCCCCTTCCATTTCACGTCCCAGCTGTCTATCCTAAGCCAAGAGAAAGAGATATAGCCTAGCACAAGCCAGGACCCAGGTTTTTTGTATATCGACTTAATTTCCTCCTTGGTGGTATAAATAGCGTCGTAAATTTGTAGTGGGAGATGGATGATAATTAATGAGGCAAGCTCTAGTTTGCAATAGAAAAAACTCTTTTGTCGGTCGTTGAGACGAGATGATATGTTTTTAGAAAGAGGTAAAGGACTTGGATGAGAATGGTAAGAGTGGCACTATGAAGATGTCGTCAAATGGAGATGTGCTTGAGGTTGCTTTCGACTTCGTTTCAGATGCTATTCTCCTTGGCTACCCTAGATATACAGCGTATACTGAGCGACTACACTAGCACCGCTGGAACGTGAAGAATTAGTCTTTGCCGGCTGTGTTATCGTTGTTGTTGCCAAGATCCACTCAAAGTGTGGTGGCGCAATTAGAACCAAACTAATCCGCCCAAATTTCCTCACCTGTCTCTTCATGAGCCTGAGGTCCCTATTTCAAAAATGTAGATATTCGCGACGATATCTCCCTATCTGTGAGGGTTTAATGGATTCAGATGTACTTGAAAGACAATAACTCAATAGGAATTAGTAACTTGTTCCTTGGGAAGACTATCTACCACGTACTCTCCCATACGTTATATGCCCTGCGTAGACTGGTCTTAACTCCCTCCATTAGCCACTTGATAATCATCCTTTCTCACGGCACAACTCTTCTCCTATATCATACTCCCCATCTGGCGCGTACCCCCTTAGCGCCCCTTTCGTCTATCCAGGAGCGATGCCCTGCCACTGCCTTACCTCGGAGACGGAGTAGTCCTAGTGACCAGTCCCAGTCCGGGCAAAGCCCGTCACATTATCCCTCCATTGCCCGGCGTATACAAGGACTCGACAGGATCGTCACGAGTCATATTAGTGACCAAACCCCAAAAAAAAATAACAATGACGATAGTGTTCAAGGAAGTCCGCAGTATCTTTACAGTGTGGACTCGTGATAATTACAAGATTCCTTTAGGCTGTTTAATATCGTTATAACGAGTCCACACTTTACATCTAGACCTTGCACCGGTTGTTGTTACATTTGTCGGCATTGTTCTCTGATGATTTTTACATTGGCTGAGGACTCTTATTCAAACTACCAACGCAATCAGAAACAGCACATGGAAATGACGGTCCCACTTTCAAAACTGATCATCTATTTGGCGTAAAATCCTTTACGTGGATACGAAGTCAGGAGACTTGTTTTATCATTTGCAGAATAAAATGTATTATTAGCATGTCTTTAGTTGGCCCAATGCCCCTCGGTCTAATAAGTTATACACTCACTTAATTATGAGCTCTCCGTATCTGACTAGCAATGCTCTATCTTACTTTATCTAACTATGCTGCCTCTACAAACTTTGGAATGCTTGCTATTAGTTAGCCTTGATCCTGCACTATTTCCGGAATTAAAAACCACCATCTATCAAATCTCAAATGTACCAGGCTCATATTACTCGCATTATCAGTCTTTCACCTCATTTGATACTATTTTGAATCTACCAAAAATACGATTGAACAAACACCTGGAATCTCCCTTAACAATAAGGCGAATATGTAGCAAATACCAGGGAGATATTTTATTTCTGAACAGGCGGTTACAGAATGAACACATAGCCACACCTTCTGATTTCAATGAAAAGAAAAAAGACCAGAATGATACTGATTGTATTAAGAAATTAAGACAATTGTTCATGAAAAATATAGATGGCAAATTATCTGAAGTTGGAAAACCAAATATGAAACTCAGTATATGCCGATTTGAACTCATAGTGGAGAATCTGAGCAAAGGCTTGATTCAACTAGATGGTCCACATGTATGTTACGCACAAAAATACAATTCAGCTGCCCTGAAATCAAACAATTATCGTGGTAATATCATCAAGTTGTTTGCTGATTCTGCCATGCCTATTAAGCATGTTTTAAGTTCAATGAAACCTTTAGCGTCGATAACAATAGGAGAAGATATCAAACACTTAGTTCTGGTACTACATGAGCTTAGAGTTATAAGTAAGAATATAAAAAGTCAAGAATATGAAATGGAGCCCCGTCTCGGCTCAAGGGATAAAAGAAACCCTGCTGTCTTTGAGTTTCTCACAGCTTATATACAACGTACGATGTCGGATATACATTTGCATAAATATGGTTCAACAAGCTTAGATAATGCGTATTTAGGGGGGTCAGACTGTTTGAATAACAACAAGGTTCCGAAAAATGCACTCAGTGACCTTGAGCCTGTTCGGGTAAATTCGAAGCCACATAGTTTTCCTACCAAAAATCTAAAGGATAGATCTTAGTGTGACAGTATGTTACTACTACATTAGATAAAACTAGATGCACTTAAACTATTGTTCAACGTTTATCTACTACTCACTGTAATTTTAGGGCCAAATTAACTACCTTTACTCCGAATGCATGCTAAAATATATTTTCACATTTCCAAGTAGCAGGTATTCATGAAGTATACTATAGATAACCAATTCCTCATTCCCCTTGAATACACAAAAATCAGCGACTTCAATCTTAGGTTTGTCAACGTCGAGTGTTACTTACTGTTATTATCTTTAATAGATATGGAATTAGTTCACCGTCTTTTAAAACCTTCCTATATGCAAATGGAATAAAGTTAGTCTGGCAGCACTGATAAGCCACAAACCTAGAACGCGAGAAACATTTCTAACTACTACAGTCTGGAATTTGTACTGATCAGTAGATGGAAAATTATCCTCTAAATAATCAGTTGTAATCATATTTCGTCACAATCCTTTCATACCAAGTCAAGCCATGTAAGAAAATCAATTTGAACGCGTAGAAATGCGAATTGCTTCTGTCTCTCAATTTTCTAGTTCTTTTGGTTCCAGCTGAACTATTCTAGCTTGCCTTCTTAGCATGGACGAGTACTCTTCATCATGGAGCCTTGCCCATCGCTCCAAAATAGTATTCGTAGTTATTCAACTTATTGATACTGCAAAAGACACTTATAATAACAAGCAAAATTTACAGCTTCGATTCATTATCATATGCTAGCTATCCGTACTTAACCCCTTTCCTAAAAGCTGAATATGCAATTTAAATTTCGAGATCTGAACACTAATATCCCAAGTTTCTTCAAGTTTCTGGTTCATCGGCTTTTAATTTGTTATTTCTAATTATCCATGGTTATTTACTCGTGGACGAGGTTTGTATTGTGATTATGAGGAGAGGAATTGCATACTAACAGTGGCTTTATCAATATGATGTGCTTGACACTATTATGAAGTGGACGATGATATTTGTTCGCTTTATTAGACTCTTTTCCCTATGATTGCTATCTATATGAAGGAGAATACTCCTATTTATACCTAAAGCTCATCTGTCTAATCGCTAGTAGAATATTCCATCTTGTGATGTAAAATATTCTATCATATGCTATAGAAAAGTTTATATTCTTGTTCAAACCATCCACATACAACTGTCCGTAATATCACTACACCAACCACATGTTGTATAGATCTCTATATCATCTAATACAGCTTGTCTAATTGGCTGAGTGATTTCACATCAAAACAGCTTGGCAAGGATTAAGATCAGTCCATGGAATTTACCTTCGAATTTTACATCACCCTTAAACTACAAGATAACCTGTTGTATCTTCGATGGTAATTTTTAGATCTGAAGCCTTTTTTTGTTTTTTTTTTGCATCAGATTTTTATTGCGTATGCAGCTAACTAGCTATGTCACAATATCGGAGAAAAGTACAAATTAGATGATACAACGTAAAGGAAGAGCACTCATACCTCAGATTTCATTCGCAAGTACCACTGCGAAGTTATGGTGGTATTTTCTTCACCCCAAGTCAACCCTCATCCGTGAATACCCACCCAGGGGAACATCTCAAAAACCCTGAGTTATCCAGACATGCCTCCATGATCTTTCAACTTTTCTCCGCGCGAAATATGGTCTGAGGCGTCTCCTTCCCGAGTGGATTAGGTGCCCAGGCTACTCAGACTATACCGGAGAACACCACCAGGAGGCGAACCACAACACCTTCTATCGTTTGCTTGTGTTTATAGTGTTAGCTGCACTCTCGCAAGCGAAGTCTTGGCGCGCACAAAGCCCAATTCGAAATACTCATTGCCAATTCCGGAAGTTCACGCCCTTCGACGTTAGATTCTTCCTTTGCATCATCTTGTCAAATTGTCCTGAATCCTCTCACGTCCAACCCAAAGAACTGTCTCCCAGATTTGTGCGCCACGCTTTGCTTCCTCCGTCGGGTGTAAATATCGGCGTGGGCGTGTATTTGGTGGTCAACTGAGACCATAGAAGGTCAAAGAGAGGTGTGGTCATTGGGATGAGGATGTACTAGGTCGTACTTGTAGACTTGATGAGACTTAGGTAGGCGTCAAACTCGTTGGGAGCGAGAAAACGACGTGTTAGAGTAATTTTAAATTTTGCCTCGTGGGCTAACTTCTTTGATATTGCGAAGTTTGACTGAACTTGGCTCTGGGAGAAATTTTCACTCCTAAGTTCGTAGAATGCACCGCGCACAGGTGTACAGTCTTGGCCTCCTATGGTCACATTAGGGCCCTCTAGTAGAAATAACTAATTCACTAGTGGCATTAATGTGGACAGTGGCATGGCTATCCAAATGATGAGATCTGCATGTGAACTTTGAGGAGTTGGATAGACTGCTCGGCTATCAGGCTACATCTGAAAATGGGGTAGTGAAATCAATCAAAAATATATAAGCAATAGCAATCAGACACAGCTTCGGAGTTAGCCTGGGAGGAGTCAATTGGGCTAGTTTACAGTGTTTCACTCATTGGATGCTGATGGTCTTTGTACATGGCCATCCATCCAACCGGGCCTAACCCTAGAATCTGAGTGAGATAGCTCGCAATAATGTATATATTTCGCTTGTCACAAATAGATATTGACGGCAAAATATTATTTTGAAATGATAGATACTTTTGTTACAAAATTTATTTTTAAATAATATAATAAAGAATGTCTGCTAACAATACACAGCCAATGCTCATCCAGCTATATTTACTGAAGAGAAGATTAAAAACATTTGGTTGCACAAGTATGACTCCATAATATCAATCACGATTGTTGTGTGTAATGTTTTATCCAGGTGAGACCCGTTGGAATGGATTCACAAGTAGATGAGATACAAGTAATGTCGAGGTGCAGGTGAGAACACATTAATAAGTTACTGCACGAATTTTCTTAAAATGTAACCAGCCAGTTACCTGTACTTTATCTTTGCGCTAGCACCAAAAACGCAACCAAATAGAATAACTATGTGTCATATGACTAACAGGTTAGACCATGAGCGGGAACCATCAGGACCAAGACAGTGTTCGGGTATGCTGAATCCAAGACATGGATACAAGACCTTCATCGATTGTAATTATTTTCTAGACTAGTCTTAGCTAATTGGAGATCATAATCGCAAGAAACCTGACGAATACGATAACTACAGTGACCCTGAGATCCTGTATATAGGTTTCTAATCAGTAGGGGCCAACGCGACTTCTCCAAATTACCACCCACCCAGCTGCTCTCAATTTCATCCTTAACCGTGATTTAGTCTTGGCTCCAAATGATTTTTCTACCCCATGGTTAGCAATGTTCACCCATGAAAAGTTCTCAGCCTTTGTACTCCATTACGACTTTAGTAGTTTATGACACGCTTTATCACTTACCTGGAACCAAATTCAACAAAAGATTAACTCATAGCTCAAACTTGGCTCAAATACCACAGCTTACGCAAAAAAAAACTTTTATCATGGCAGATCAATATCCAGAGTCTCGGGTGCTCATCGTGATGACTGGTGGAACAATATGTATGATACCGTCTCCGGAGGGCCTGGTACCTTCTACAGGATTTCTTGAGAACGGAATGGCTATACGACCAAATTTCAATGACCAGAGCAATCCAGGTGATTTTTTAAACGCAGAAATGTATCTCAACGTCTAATTTTTACAGGACCAATTCCTGTTATGGTTGACTCAACCACTACAGAGTTTTTTCCAAGCCTTAGAACGCCAAAAACCACATATTCAAGGCATGTTCGATATACGCTTTATGAATTTCCAAAACTTCTAGACTCATCGTCTATCTCATCAGCAGGATGGGCTCAGATTGCTACTACCATTAAGAACAACTATTCCCTCTTTGATGGATTTGTAGTACTCCATGGCACAGATAGCTTAGCATATTCTAGTTCCGCTCTCTCATTCATGCTTACTCATCTCGGGAAGCCTGTAATTCTCACCGGCTCTCAGACATCAATATTTGCCCTCCAGTCTGACGGTGTGGACAACATTCTAGGATCTTTGATTATTGCTGGCACTTTTATGATACCAGAAGTTTGTCTCTTCTTTCACCACACACTTCATCGCGGTAATAGGTGCACAAAAATTTCATCTTCTTCCTTCAAAGCTTTTGCATCTCCCAACTATGGAGCACTTGCAAAGGTCACGGCTATGGGGATCGAAATAAATTGGAAGCTGATTGAACGACCTAAGACAATCGCCAAGTTTGATGTTCAAATAAATCTTGATACTGCACACGTTGCTTGCTTTCGTATATTCCCTGGTATGAAGCCAGAAATGTTGGAATCAGTCCTACAGGTGGCCAATGTTCGAGGACTCATTCTCGAAACATTCGGAGCTGGTAATGCGCCACACAGTGAAGATGGACGCTTTGTACAAATTATAAAATCGGCTGTGGCTCGTGGTATCGTTATTGTTAACGTCAGCCAATGCCAATCAGGATTTGTCTCACCTCTCTATGCTGCCGCAGCACCTCTGAGGCAGGCAGGCGTAGTATTTGGGCAAGATCTCACCACTGAGGCAGCACTAACGAAACTCTCATACCTACTCGCACTCCCCGGGCTAAGCTACGAAACTATTATAACTGAGATGCAACGTTCTCTCTGTGGTGAAATGACCGAATTGAATTGCACATCATTCTCTCATCCATCTTCTGATATAGCAGTTACTGACCATTCTGCGTTTACTTCTCTTGGATACGCTATATCTGAGGGGAAACTACAGACAGTTATTCATTTAATCGAAGGTAACCAATTTAATCTTTTGTACTCCAGAGATTATGCCGGAAACACTCCATTACACCTTGCCGCCATTGGGCCAAGTAAAGAGATACTCCTTGAATTGCTAAGGAGAGGTGCAAATGTGCACGTCAGGAATCGTGCCAGTAACACGCCTCTATTTTTAGCGTCTCAAGTAAGGAATGAAGAGTTTGTCAAGTTGTTGTCCGAAGCTGGTGCTTTACTTCATATCGAGGAAAGAGGAGTATCAAAAGCCTACAGTGAAACTTGAATTAAGTAATAAAAATTATGCATTTATAAAATGTTTAACGGCAAGCCTCCTAAGTTCCAAGAACAAATGGGCGAAAATATGTTAAAACCCAAGAAAAACTACTTATAACCATAAACACTCTTCTTCTTTTACAAAATACGAGAAGTCAAGTCTATTAAATCAAAATGTTTGAGGAGTAGATTCAAATTTCTGAGCAGGTAAGCTTGCTTCAAATTTCAAGATAGTTGATATGACAAATTTCATAACTTGAAGTCAGTTGATATAGTTAAAGCAATAAAAATACTGAATTACATAATTCGAACGATCATTCGGAAGAAATGGGTGTTCATTATTATTATTCAAATATGTTGTCTTGACGCTATAAAATTTCTATCTATCTTTCATTCGGATAAAGCATCATTTGAATGTCAAAATCCGCAAATCAAAAGAATAAATCAACGCAATGCAAGAACCACCGACTCCAAATTACTCTTGCCAGATAAATCATTCTGAAAAATATTTGATGTGAATTAAACTACATTTGAATCTCATGAAATCAGAAGATCACATTTCGGTCAATGTGATGAAAATATGGAAAATTTTAAAGCAAGGATACGATAGTCTACTTGGCTAATTTCGAGGATGCAGATGGTGGTCTCTTCCTAAAATACACGTCTTCCTTGATAACTGAACTACCTTGAATGATTGTCTAGGCCGGCATGGCGCTTGGTAAATTTCTCGATGTACAGGACACGTCTTGTCCTAATTCCAAGAATGTAGAAGAGCGCTTAACTCAAAATTATGTTACTGGAGCGGAATAATAACGATTCTATTTTATAAGCTATCAGTATATCACGGGTATCAAATGTGCTAGCATAATAGGCTCTGAAATTTATAGAGGTTGGTTATTGTATTCTTCTTCTCCCTCTTGTATATTGATGCTAATTATACGAAGTGTTCTACTACTCGTATTGTATAATCAGGTCACATGATTATGTACCTTTATCTATCTACTCCATTGATGCAGTAACAATTCAACTCGACTCCTACCACCCTCATCGTAAATGTTGGAATAATAGTCGCAAGCGCTGATATGTCTGAGATCCTCACCAGAAATTTCCAATGTCACTAATCCCCCCTATGGTCTTCCATCCGTGAGGAAAAGCTAATTAGAATCGGGGCAGTAGGTAGACTTTTGGGAACAAACGCCTCCAAACAGTGACAGGTTACACGACCCATCCTAGGCTCATTCGTGTTTTCAGATGGAGTTCTCACAGAAGACCGATCAGGTACGGGCTATGTCATCTATCGAGGCCTTAGGCAGGAGATTTGGAGAGGATTACTCCTGCTCGGAAACTCGGCGGAAGTCTATGATGCTGAAATTGCTGGGGCCATAGAAGGTCTAGCTGCAGCACTCCGAAACCCACTGGCCTTCTATGCCTCTAACATCACCGTTTTCCTTGAAAAACAGGAGGCCGCCATTCGTCTTCTCTCCGACGTGCCTACAGCGCCGAGCTCCACAAAATTCTTTCTATCTCGCAAGCTTGCCGTAAGCTATAAAAGGAGGTCACATGCCCAAAACACGATGCCTGGGGAAGTGGCTATCTGCTGGGAAATGTTACGGGGATGAATTGAATTGAATTGAATACATTACGTATCAGGCTTATGCCCTACACCCAATAGGCGTGATACGGGTCTGTGCTCCCTGGGGCCACACTACAACCTAGGTACATAGTTTGCTTCTCAGAAACTATTTGTAGAAGACATAGATAATTAATTAAATTTCGAAAAAAAAAACGCCCTGCGCCTTTTCTCCTTCCTCGTGGCCCTTAGTCCTGTGGAAAATTTCCTCCGGCAGGACTTAATCCTCCCGGTTTGCGCTCTGCATCTCGTAACACTTAGTTACTGTTAAGAACTGGAGAAATTTACCCCCTCCCTTTTCTGCCAGCATCTCCCGTCCACTCGGTGGTGGTTCATGCTTCTCTTCTCTCCAGTGCCGTAGAGCAATCCGACATTCGGCAAAATGCCAGGGACGTTTCTCTCTTCCGCAAACGCATTTGCAGTTTTCCCATTCGTGGCCAAACCTTTCATGGTAGTTCCTAAAATCACCATGTCCCGTCCTCGCTGCGACCAAGTGGTGATGCGCCCACCTCGGAAGTGCTAGCTCTGGTGGACGTTTTCGTTTCATTCGGAGATCCAACTCCTCATAGCGGCTAGGTCTGTGTTTTAGCCACCAGGATTCCACCGCTTCTTCACACCTTTGCCTGACAAACCGGTTGAGGGCTGCGAAGGTGTATTTAAGTCCGTCCTTAATTGTTGAGGGATCTGTAGTCGTTTCAGCCGGGAGTTTCCTGAGGGCTTCCTTCGCCAGTCTGTCTGCCTCCTCGTTTCCAGTGATCCCTGAGTGGGCTGGTATCCACCTGATTTCAACTGATCTGGCTCGTCGTACCAGTCTTGTGAATATGTCTACCACCGCCTGAGAAGATTTCGTTCGACCGGTTTGAAGAGCTCTTGCGGCTATGGAGTTATCGAGGAGCACTTTTATCGGAGAGCTGCCCGCTTTTCCTATCGCTCCTTCGAGGGCTTTTTGGGCGCCAAAGATTTCGGCATCGTACACCTCCGCCCCTGGCAGAGGACCGGCATCACTCCCAATCATCTGGCCTCCTTTGTATAAGATGTATCCCCACGCCGATCTAGCAGGTCCACATGATGAGCCGTCTGAGTAAGCGCAAACTGTCTCATCCGACAGGCTTGCTATCCATTGCTTAGCGTGAGCTGCTTCTTGCTGCTTGTCACCGCCAGTGAGCTGTCTGATGGGCTCAGCTTTTGGGAAATACAGTTTGCCGGGGCCCTCGGCCATCGGCATATTTTTGGCGCTGATCTGAAGTCGCGTGAGGTACCTTTCTGGGCACTTGAATGGCCGGTTCCTCTGACCTATGCGGAGACCTAGGCGGCTTACTGTATCTTTTGGCTCCTCTGTAGACCTGAATGCTAAAGGATGCCACGCGTCCAGCCTTTGAATCCGTGCGGCAGCTAGAATTTTTCTCTGCTGTAAGATAATAGCAGATAGGGGAATACCCGACTCTCTGTGTAGCGCCGTTTTTGGTGTAGTTCGCCACACCGGTAGCGCAGCTCGAACTGCCTTCAAGATAGTGCTGTCGAGGAGATCAGTGTGCCAGCCTACTCCTGTGCCAACCATTTTGTCCCGCTGGGTTGTGATTCGGGTGAGACCTGGCCACCACGCTTCGGCTCCATATAGTGCCGTACTTAGGACACAGGACTGCACTGCTTTAATCATCGGTCACGGAGCTGCACCATGCTGGACCGAATTTATCCGTCGTATAGACTGTGTTATACGTTGCGCCTTCCCGCACCATTCCTGAACGTGTTGCTTGAAGTTGAGTTGAGAATCTAGCCATACTCCCAGCCATCTCACGTACGGGGACGGGGCTATGCAGTGGCCTTGGATCTGGACAGCTAGACCTGCGGTGTTCAGCTTTTTCCTTGGCCCACCTCCAATTAACAGTAGTTCAGACTTTGCCGGGTCAAAGTCTATCTGGTTTTCGCTCGCTAATTGCACGAGTTTGTCGACTTCTTTCTGGGCTTCGGCCACTGCTTCAGACGCGGTGCTCCCTATGCTGAGTATAGCGATGTCGTCAGCGTACCCGAATTTTGTGCTCTTGTTTCCGTCTCGCATCAAGATTTCGATGTATAATAAAAACAGAAGGGGTGATAGCGGCGACCCTTGTGGGACTCCGCACTCTGCAACTTTGTCCCGCGTGGTTCCATCACGGTGTCGCGCCCTTATCCTTCGTTGGGTTAGAAATGATTCTATCCACAGGCAAAGTATCCTTGGCCATCCCTGATTCCGCAAACGATGGATCAGCCGTTTGTGCAGGACCGCGTCGAACGCTCCTTGTACGTCCAGAGTAACCATGGCCGTTACCTTCTTGTATCGCATTGCCGCCTCTACATCGTGTATGACGCAGGAGACCAAGTCAACTGCTGAGCGACCAGGCAGTGCACCAAACAGCTGTTGAGGAACGACTCGGTGCTCGATTGCTAGCCAGGCCATTCTCTTGGCTACAAGTCGTTCCAAACCTTTCCCAAGACAGGATAGAAGAGAGATTGGTCGCCACCCTTTAGCTGTTGCGAGGTCCCGTCCTGGCTTAGGGAGGAGGATGACCTCTGCAACTCGAAACATAGTGGGCAAATGTCCAAGCTGTAAACATGCTTGAAAGAGGTTCTTCACTTGTTCGCCAATTTGCTCCCAGCACGCCTTGAGCAGCCGAACCGTGATTCTGTCCGCTCCTGGAGACTTGTCGCCTGTTCCAATGGTGCTCGATTTTACATCCTCTGTCGACAATATTGGGTTCCACGGAATAGTCTCTGGTTGTCCCGTCTCCCATGTGGAGAGATCGTGGGCTGCGTTGAATCTAGTCATCAAGATGTCCCTCAGGGTTTCTGCCCTCTCGAGTGGGTCTGATAACCATTTGTCCTCCGCGACCTTCAGAGGAGGAGGTTCTCGACATGGCTTGGGTTTAGCCCATTGCATTATCTTAAATACCTGGGTGTCCGTGATGGCATTCTCGATCTGTTTTCTCCAGTGTTCCCTTTTTGCCACTTTGACTGTAGCTCTAAACCTTTTCCGGGCCAGGGCTGCTTTTTCTGAGTCGTCTCTGGATTCCATGAACTCGAGGTGCTTTTTCTTGCACTCCTCATTCCACCATGGCGCTGATTTCCCGGCTATTCTCACTGGTTTCCGTCCCACTGCCTTGCGGGCATCCCCCAGAGCCTCCAGCAGGTTCGCTACTTGGCTTTCAATTTCCAACTCGTTGCGTATGGGGCCAGACTTGGCCCAGGCTTTGACATACTGGGCGAATTTACCAAGGTCTTGGTCACGGACTCGCAGATCCTGTGAGACAGCGTTGAGGTCTGCCATTTTTGTCACCTGAACAGATCCTACGATAGTCATATGATCCGATGTACAGTTGTATTTATTTGATACCGACGCCTCAGCG